AGAATTGAGACAGAACATGGCTATTGCCACCCAGTTCTGATGAGCTTCCAATGCACCTCACAAACACTGCCCATCTTTGATGTGCCTTCTGCATCTCACACAGGCCTTGACCTGAAGGTCTCTTCCACCTCCCTGTCACCTTCCACTTCACTACTACAGAGCAGTTTACATAGCTCGAAGGGTTGCTGCTAGGGATGTGAAAGGTTAAACGATTAATCTTAACTGCATTTAACTGATAAGCGAAGGGATAACTAGTTAGTTTACTGGTTATCCTTTAGCTCTGGGCCAGCATAGTCTGGCAGGAAAGGGAAGCCACATGATGCCCCAGCAGGAATCAGAAGGCAGAGGGCAGGCAGAAGGGAGAAGTCAGGAGGAGGAGCGAGTGCAAGGGGTGAGGGAGACTGGTACCCATAGCCTAAGAGGAAAACAGGAGCAGCCTAACGGCTCATCAATTAAACAATTAGCTACTGGTTCACAGGCGCTCCCTCCCTCCCAGCACAGGGCTTCCGGTGGAATGTGTTGTCTGGCTGGGCTTCCCTCCTGCCCACCCGCACCATTCAAAGGGCTCCAGGAGCTGAAACAGCTCCCAGGGACAGCTGTACCTGAGCTGCTTTGTTATCAGTTAATCGTTTAACCAATATACAGGCAGTCCTCGACTCACAATGTTTTGAGTTACAACATTTCACACTTACAACATGTATAAATTGACACCCTGTTTCAACTTTCTGATGTCAGTTTCAACTTTACAACGCTTGGTCCGATGCAACGCCACACCAGTGAGCAAGTTTGCTGAATCACCCATCTCCCTGGACAACATCTGTCCAAACTTCCTTGGACACTTTCTTTAAGAAAAAAGACAAGACTCCAGAAAAACCTGCAGCCAAGACTCCTGAGATGACTCCAGCTAAGAACCCTTCAAAAAGTCCAACCAAGAGCCTTTTAAAAAGTCCACTAAAGTCACCTCGAAGAAGTCCTTCCAAATCAATATGATTGCTATTTACAATATAAATACATTAATGTAGCTATATTACTCATCTATAATTGATTGAGTACAAATTCTGGGTTATTTTTGGTGAAAATAGGGTATTGGGCCTTGGTTCAGGAACCAATCCCCCATTTATAACATTGTTTCCTATGGGAAAATCGGTTTCAAGTTACAACATTTCAATTTAAGACACAGTTTTCAGGAACCAATTGTGTTGTAAGTCCGAGGACTGCCTGTAATTAGAAAAGGTTAAAAGAATATTATTTTAAATAATATTTACATCCCTAGTTGATGCCCGTTCCAGTGTCCTAAACTTATTATTTCCACAGTGTCAGAAGGACAGTGCTATCTTTGAGGATAAATACAAAACTTCTCACAGACCTTGCTAAAGTTATACACATTAAAAGCCACTTGTGATGGAAACAAAGACCAGAGAGAACACTGAAAAATGTGCATTTATGGCGGGCATTGCAATTTAAATCTAATCATTTTAACAGACTTGCTCAACAGAAAACTAGATTATTCCTAACCCTACAGTTTCTGTTACACTGGCTCCACAGTGAAACTTGCTTAAATGCACACTGCAATGTGCAAATTACAAGCGTAATTACGAAGAGCCTCTACTTAGCTAGAAGTTTTCCTGTTTATATGCTGTTCTGAGATTGATTTTTATTTTAATAAGTCATCAGTAGCTAAAGTTTAGCCATCCAGAAATCTGATTGGCAGTCTCAACAGTTCATTCAGTATATCTAATACATCTGAGGAACTAATTAAAGATAATTTGGTCTTAATGAGGCAGAGAGAAAGTATCAGTGTTAATTCAAATGGAAGCTGATCCATGAAAGTCAAGGCTTCCAATTCTAATGCTCCACAGAACTGCGCAAAGTTGTTATATAATGGAAGAATAGCTGATATCTAATACAATCTGATTAATACAATCTATGTTTGCAAAACAGCAAGGGAATAATAACTAGTAACCAATCCCATTTAATTCCTGAAAAATATTATATTTAGGTTTGGTAGGAAGTATAGGCAATTGGAGTGTCTCAAAGTGTTTTTAAAAAAAAAAAAACACTTTAGAAAAGTAGAAAATAAACCACAAAGAAAAGCAACTCTGTAGTAATCTGCTAACATTCATCAGGAAACATGCTTATAGAAGTCTGTCCCAGGTAAAAAACTCAGAGGTGGTTAATAAAAAAAAATTCCTCTCATTAACTGAAAATTTCATCTTGTCATTTTAGAGGTCCCTATTTTCTACTTTACTCTGTTCCATCTATCTATACCAGGGGCACACAAGTATTTGGCCCCATGGGCCACATATGCAGATCTGGAGAGCTGCCAAGGGCTGGTCAGCAACCCCCACCCCACCCACAACAGCCTGGAGCCCACATGCCCTGCAGCTCCTCTCCACCCCCACTAACAGCGCACAGCTCCAGCCCTGACTGCAGCCTGCCCTGCTTTTCTAGGCAGCCCAAGTGGTAGTACTGGCTCCTTCTGGCTGCCACAGTCATTGGTCCCAACCCCGTGGTACTGGTGGGGACCCGCGTGCACAGCTCTAACCCCGGACCACCCCATGCCTGATCTGGATCCAGCCGAGCGGAAAGGACCTGCTCCAGACTAGCCAGAACCCATTTGTGCAGCCACAACCTGGGCCGCTCTGCGCCTACTCCAGAAGCTACTGCTGAGCCCAACAGAAAAGCACTGCCACTGCCAGGCCCTTCTTGCTGCAGCTGCCCGGAGCCTGGGCCCACGCTGCCCTGCTGCTCCTCTTCACCAACATCATTGCTGCCTCCGGCCTGCCCAGTGGAGCACCAGTGGCAGTGCAGAGGAGCTGCAGAGCAGCCCAGACACAGGGTCCAGATGGCTGCAGCAAGAAGGGCCCAGAAGTGGTGAAGGGGAGAGCCCACTTTTTCCTATGTGGAGCAGCAGCTTTTGCCAAGCCATCACAGCTGCTGCCGCTGCTCAGCATAGGTGGGCAAGTCTGGAGCAGGTGCAGGGAAGGCCGGGTTGGGGCTGCATGTGCAGGTTCCGGCTAGTCCAGAGCTGGGCCACGTCTGGAATGGGCACAGGGTGGTCCAGATTTGGGACTGTGCATACGAGTCCCTGCTAGTACCATGGGACTGAGGCCACTGGAAGAAACCACCTAAAAAGGCAGTCCAGCTGTGGAGACACCCCAATCCTGCTGTGTGCCCGCGAGGCGGCAGGATGCCCCAGGAACTAGATGGGACCAAGGGGTCTGCCTCAGGCCAGACAAAGCCCCTCGGCGAGCTGAATCTGGCCCACAGGCTGTATTTTGCCCACCCCTGATCTAGGCACTTGTGCCTCCCATCACTACAGTACTGGAGCCATTCATCATCTTTGAACATAATATCCTCACAACTAAAAGGGAGGAAAGTCCTATTATCAAAAACATAATCAAATATGATACAGAAAAATTAGGGGTCAGGGTAAGCCTACACTGCAAAGGCATTTTCATTAAAATTCCCCTAAGGGAAACACAGCTTGTAACTGGAAAAAAAATTCTGCTTTTGGTTAACCACTTCTCCAAAAAAGTGGAATTCTCCAGCCAAAAAGAATCTTTATGGTGTAAGTTGTGTCTGCACAGAGAGTTTTGCCAACACTGCTATATCAGTGAAGGGTTTTTCACACTCTTGGACAACCCAGCCTTGCTAGCAACCTTTGTAAGGTAAACCTGGCCCTAAATGATTTACCCAAGCTCTCACAGGCAGCCTATGACAGAGCTGAAAACAACTGAAGCCAAAACACAGAGCCAAGTACCATCCATGTATCTGAGTATATCTGATTGAAGCTTCAGCTGCACACATGCTAGATTTTTACTTTAAATTATTCTAACAGTTACAATAAATTTAGGCTTTTAAAAGGCTGTCAACTTCAAATTTAAATTGTATATACACTTTAGGGTGTTAACCAATCTCAGTAGTTCTACCAATGACCTCATATCCATATTGAGTGAGAGACAACAAAACAGCACTCCATATGGAACTGAAAATAAAATTATGATCTACCCAATATTTCCTTTTTGGACTGTCTCAAAAGTTACTGCTATAAAAAGTACTGTCCTAGAACAGATTAGGAACATGTCAGACAAAGAACTTTTATTTTACACTTTGGATTTCAAATGTGCAAAGCAGAGTTCATGAAAATCAAATTATTTTGAGAAAGGTATTAAGCTAAGGGGTTGAATGCTTATGAAAGCTCATAGCAAACTTTGAAAATGAAGTAAGTCTGATGGAGCCAGTCTCAGAGGGAAGTGCAGTGAGCCACACAAGACTTAAGAAGCTGGGAAGAAGTGAAGGTAGGCTTTGGCATAGGTGATGGGAGCAAAGAATAAGCAAATTAGCAGTTACAGTTTCACAGTACCGAATCTGCAGGAAAATAATTTTCTAAGGTAAAAAGACATAACTTTTCAAAAGCTGCTTTTGAAAGTCTTCCCTCCAATCTGTAGACTTATAGAACTTCCAAAAGTTTTAAAATAAATATTAAACTACATGTGAATTACTAGTAAACAAACAGTTTCAAGTGTTTAACTAAAAAGATCATTCACGGTATCATCTACAGTAATGACAGAAAACTGTTTGAAAGTTTAACAGGACAGTTAAACAGGTAGCAGGATTTGGATAATGTCCAATTTCTTAGTGCCTATGCCCAGCCTCTTCTGAATGGTGCAATTCAGTGTTTATGAAAGGAGTAAGATCAACAGCCTTTAAGACCATGGGCAAGATTTTCAAACTTCAGTGCTAAGGGAAAGTTCCTAAATAAAGCTTTTCAGCAATTTTGTAAAAAAAAACAAACAAAAAACTTTTAAAAACCTGGGGCTCAGGTTGCCCAGTATTTCTGAAATTCAGGTCTGAATAAATACTATGAATGTACAAGTCTGATTTTTAGCTGTCCACTTTTGAATGCACTGGAGGAGGGGCAGAGTTGTTTGGGGGTGGGTTTACCCTGAATAGTAAAAACAGACAAAAACATGGATGTATAATATGCATTAACTTACCACTGCTACCACAGTCTGCACAAGACAGCAGTTCTTCTGGCTTTTTTTCACGATTTGATTCTTTAGTCCCCAAACAGAAGCTACATATTGGAATAGGATCAGCTCGTGGCTAGAGCAAAAAATAAAAACAAGCTGTGGTTAGTTCTCTTATACAGAAGTGATATTCCAATTCTTGTCCTAAAAAATTAAAAACATTATTTCCCCTTATTTTCCTTTTTTTTGTATTTTGATTTATGAGACAATTGCTTCAGTATATGAAGTTATTTTTTTCAAACTGACATAGTATTGTAGAAGTCTTCCTCATGACTCTACTATTTAGTATTGGTGTCATTCATCACGGCAGCATCTTTAAATGCATCATAAACATTAATTAAGCACCAATCACAATGTCCTCGTGTGTTATTCTTTTTTAAAGATGGAAAACTGTGGCAGAAAAGTTAAGTGGTTTGCTCAGAACCGCATCATGTCAGCAAAAAAGGTGCAAACTTGTGATGTAACCTTTGTCAACACCAACTTAATACTATCGTCTAACAAACAAGACCACTGGTACACAATGAAACTTAAAGATAGCAAATTTAAAATGGATAAAATGAACTTTTATTCCTGCACTCAAACAGTTAGACAACTGTGGAGCCCTTTGCTAAAAGATATTTGTAGACAAGATTTAAAAAAGTACAAGCTTGGGCATTCACGTAGAAAAGCAAAAATAACCAGAACTTCATCAACAATTAGTACCAAAAACTTTGGAAGAGGAACAAACCCTCAAGTTTCAGGCTTTAAAACAACATAAATATAAGGATGTTTTTTCTAAGGATGTTATACCATGACACTCCAATACAGAACCTTTCCACCATCTTCTGAATCACTGGATACAACCAATGTCAGAAAAGATTCCCATCTAGATGAACCACTGACCAAATTCAGCCCATCAGTTCCTATTTTCTACTAATCAACATTTTCTATAAGAATCAGCAGGCCAATAGCGTTAAAAAATTATGCTAAAATTTTTTTAAATATTTTTTTCTAACATACAGCCCCTTCCACAATGAACATTCATTCAGATTGGAAAAATCGCTTGAGGATTCATTATGTTTGCTGTTTCTAATCACATATGAAACAAGACAATATCTTAGATTTAAATAAAATAATTTATGTTTACATTTTTGATGTGTTAAAGCAATTAATTGCATTCCTTTCCTAGAGGATTCTTCTATTATGTGTTCATGCAGTAGTGGATCTAGGATTTTGAAAAAGAGGTGCAGATGGTAAGGTACATCATCACACGTAGCACAACACATTTTTCTCAAATTACAGAGTGTGGGGGAGGAAGGGAGCAGGAGGTCCCCGGAACCCCACCACCCGGAATTAACCAATCCAGGTTACGCCCCACGGCACAAATTGCCAGGGTGGGAACACTCACGCTCCACAGGTGCAACCGGGGAAGAAGCCTCGAGGCAGTTCCGGTCCCTATTAAAGGGACACCTGAGGCAGCTGCGGGAGGAGACCCGGAAGGCAGCGGCGGCGAAGAGGGAGCCGTCGGGAGCACCCGAGCATGGGGAAAGGCGGCCAGCCGGCACGGGAGGACCTTCTGGGGTCGGGGCAAACCACACCGGGACCCGGGAGCTGAGGAGCAGTGGCCTCACCACGGATACTGACGGCGCAGAGCCGCGGAGAACGGCTCAGCTCAGGGAGAGCCGGCAAGCCGTATTCTTTTGAGTAGAGGGGCACTCGCAGCAAGGGAAGCAAGGCAGCCGTGTCAGAGAGGGACTCGGGGACTTTGCAAGCCCGGGAACAAATCTGGCGTGGTGAGTACAGCCGGAGGAGGGGAGTATTCCCAAAGCGGACAGGGAAGGACCGGAGAAGCCGGTAAAAGGCACGGGTAACCTTCGGGCTCTGGGAATCCCTGGCTGGAAGCATTCAGTTGTTTGCTTCTCTTTGATTTCTGTACCTCGGACGTGCCCCTGGCGACGAGAGGAAAGCAGGCGGCCGAGAGATTTTGGAGGTACGGGCCAGGGTGTAGGGGCAGCGGAGCCCTCGACAGCGTGGGACCCCTGAGGGATCGGAGTCTCATTTGTGGACTGGTACGCCCCGGCTTTTATATCACTGAACCAGGAGATCATCAAAGTCGTGGCAGGAAGATCGGAGGAAACCAGCTCACAAACGAGCCTAGTGAGGAGGAACACCCCGGGGACGGTCCCTTACCAAGAGGGGCGGAGGCTGCGGCACAGAGAAAAGTGACCGGCACAGTGCTACTCTTGGACACAGAGAAACTGGAAACTTTACAGATATGTTAGGAGCCTTGCACTACATTATTCAGTTTAAGATCAGGGACCAATTGGGCAACTGCAGCCTCAACTACTTCATAGTCTGATGGCTGGGGAACTGGCTCCAAGGTTGGATCCAGAGAGTCGTAGTTGACAAAACGAAATCAACGTGGCATTCAGTGACCAGTGGCATCCCCCAAGGCTCCATTCTCAGACCTGTACTCTTTAATGTCCTTCATATATGATCTGGACACTGGCATCAGAAGTGGACTGGCTAAATTTGCTGATGACACCAAACTCTGGGGAACAATGTCCACACTTGAGGACAGGCTGGTGATCCAGGCCGACCTTAATAAGCTTGCAAGGTGGGCAGAGGAAAACATGATGGTATTCAATACGGAGAAATGCAAGGTACTCCACCTCTGGCAAAGAAACCCGCATCACACTTATAGGCTCAGCAATGCTACACTCGCAAGCAAGATGACTGAAAGAGACTTGGGGGTCATAAGTGACCACAAGATGAATATGAGCCACCAATATGATACCACAGCTAGTAAAGCAAACAAAACTCTGGCTTGCATCTACCAACACAGGTCGACTAAGACCCAGGATGTCATCCTCCCGCTGTACTTGGCCTTGCTGGGGCTGCAGCTGGAGTACTACATCCAATTCTGGGCTCCACAATTTAGGAAGGACGTGGAGAAGCTTGGAAGAGTGCAGAGAGGCATGTGCATGATCCGAGGGAAAGAGAACAGGTCCTACAAAGAAAGGCTGTGAGCTACAGGACTCCCAGAGAAATGGAGGCTCAGGGATGACTCAGCCTATAATTACATAAGGGATGTGCATCAGGATCTGGGGGAACACCTGTTTACCAGAGCACACCAGGAGATGAGGTCCGAGGGTCACAAACTCCTGCAAGACCGTTTAGGCTGGATATAAGGAAAAACATCTTTACTATCCGAGCCCCCAAGGCCTGGAACAGACTCAGCCCTGGAGGTGGTGCAAGCACCTACTCTGGACACTTTCAACAAACATTTGGACACTTATCTTGCTTCGATTCTTTAACCCTACCTGACTTTCTGGCCCTTGGGCAGAGGGCTGGACGCAATGATCTTACAAGGTCCCCTCCAGCCCTAATGTTTATGAAATTTATGAAACCAATACCATCTAGCTACACCAGCCCAGAACACAGTACAGGCTGTAAAATCTATTTTTAAAGCAGGTTTCAAGGTTAGGTTAGTATGGATTGTGTTCTGTGCTGGCAGATATACTATTATTGGTATTCAAGCTAACTAGCTTACAGCTAACTAAGGTATCTTCATAGTATACTGAAGTTGCATTTCTGTAGACATATCCTTAAGTGTATTATTACTTAAACATTTGCTTCTGCACAGCTCAGTCCTTCAAATTTGTTATTTCATGGTATGTCCTTTTAAGATATAATTATGGGTATCTTGACAGTCACATACACCTCACCACATACAGTGAAAATCCACCATGATTCTAGTAGGATTAGCCTTAACTTTGACAAACTTATTAAGAAAAATGGAAACATTATCTAGTGTTTCAAATACACTACAGACAACCAATGTTCCCTCCAAGGAGTAGCAGTCCATGAGCGTGCCGCTTCAGTCCCGCCTCCCCCTTTCAGTGCAGTGTGGGACACTTACTGAAGGTAAGCTCCTCATTCCTCACCCAGGGCAGGCAGCGGGGCCTGCAGCCAGGGGGCTATGGCTAGGGCCTGGGGCAGGCTCCACTGGGGGTTTGGGGGCCAGGGCCTGAAGGCCAGGGCCTGGGATGGGCTCCACTGGGAGACTGGGGGCTAGGGGCCTGGGGGTGGGCTCTGCCATCTCCAAGGAACTGCTCCGTTCCTCCGCATCACCTCAGGAGGCACGTGGTGTCAGGGCTGGGGAGTGGAGCAGTTCCCCAGAGCCGACGGTGCCCGCAAAGCAGTTCCCTGGAGCCAGCGTAGCCTCACTCGGGGCAGACAGTGACTCCTCTCTGAGATGAGGCAAGGAAGGGATAGAGGCTGGGGCAGTGGGCTGGCGCGGGCTCCACTGGCGCCAGGGAAGTGCTCCACTCCCCAGCCCTGACATTACGTGCCTCCTCGCTCCCCGCGGCAATGCGGGGGAGCGGAGCAGTGCCCTGGAGCCGGCAGAGCCTGCACCAGGCCCCAGCCTCTGCCTCACCTTGGGGAGGAGCTTACCTTCAGTAAGTGTCCCACGCCGCAACCCAGCTCCTCTCCTGGAGGGTGTGCGCCCTTAAAAAGTTGGTGCTCAGGCAGACTTTTACTTGTGCGCAGCCACGCGTGTGCATGCCTTAGAGGGAACCTTGTAGACAACACACACTTACTAGTTTTATTAATGCTACGAATTGCTATGAATTATGTGCAGAGCTGAAAAACCAAATCCCCACCTTGAGAGAAATAATTGGGGGGAAAAATAGAATTGTGGCATTTCTAAGTCAATCATGTTTCCATGTAACCAATGGTTAAATGAATTTCAGTCAATAAGTAAACCTAAACTGTTGCAATGCAACCTTGAATAACAAACTTGTAGTGGGAAATGTATGCGAGTGCCTACTGAACTCTTCCTGTAAAAGTTTAAAGACATAACAACTCCCCCTCTCCAAAAGTGACAATGCAAAAGTGTAGGGGTAGAGGATTGGGAGAGGGCATGCAGAATAAATAATTTACTGCTGTTACCCAAAAGTGCCCTCTAACTTCAGGCAGATTGGAAATTTTATATGCACAGACACAATCCAATACATCTCCATAATAATAATCCTTTAAAGAATTTACATAAAACGCTTACAGATTGGGTACCAACTTTGTCATTGATCTTAA